ACAAAAACTAAAAACACTAAAAAATTAAACACCTGATGATTTCAAACAATCGCCGTTTTTGAGACAAGTCTATACTTTTACAAGATGTGAGTTTGGAATACGATATTTCGCACTGGAATAAAACGAAACAAACCATTCGTATTTCAAAGATATATAGCTGTTTTACAAAAAGTTCTAGGAATAACATCGATAGTCTGAACGATAACGCAACCCGAGAATAAACAACACTTTAGGAGTTACGTCACGATTTTTAGAGTCATTTTTGGGGTCGTAAAGAGTTGCCATTAAATAGAATAAAACCTTGAAATGATCGTGTTCTAGGGTAGAAAACACTTAAGAGGCAAGAACAAATCAAAACGGAATGAGGATCGTTAAGGATGGCAAAGATTAACAAGAACTGCAAATGACGAACTTGGAAAAACTAGGCTAATTTTTTTCAAGATGCGCACACCATGACGTAGCTCCTTTAAAGCAAGTCATGTCCTTGAACTTGCGTGCGTAAGTTTCCTCATTAACTGTAACGCCAACTGTAACGCTCACATATGACTCGAAAACGTAGCCGAGAACTAGCTACTGACACTAACAGCAATTTCAAAAACGAGAATGGGAGGTTCACGGAAGCTTCGAGCTAGCTAACGTTCATTATTATATCTCCCAGTTAGTACGCGCGTTATGATTGGTCAATTTAGCGGGCCGTATTCTCCTGTACGGCCCGCTAAAATTTAAAGTTGTTTTTGTTGCCAAACTGTTACGTGATTTATCACCAAGTGTACTTAACTTTTATAGCAAGTAAAAGTTTAAAACTTTCTTTTACTCTAAATTGTGCGTACTAACGACTTAAAAACGATTTCAAATGGGCTCGTTTTGCTTTTGACGTGCGTCAGAAATTTGAAGCCAGCGGCCTCGGGCAGCATTTTCAAACCCGAGGTCACAGTTTTTCACTATACAGACCGACCCTAAGCCGGCAAATAACATGTTTATTTTTTTCCTGCAGTAAATTGGTTTTACAGATTACAAATGGGTTTGTTTACGCAACACTTGTCATTGAATCGGCTTCCGCGCACTCTACAAACGATTTGTAAAAAATCTCGGCAACGAGCGAGTAACTCAGATAGTAGAGAAATAAAGATGTATTAAAAAACAGATTTTTTTCGAACTACTTTGTGTTAGTTGCATTTATTTCACCAGTTAATTTCTCCAAAACTGTTTTTGCGGTGTGAAATTTCGTGCGAAGTTTGAAGTTTTACCACAAAAACAATTTCTGTCAGTCGTTGCTTTTAAAATCACTTCGTCGCTTTTCTACCGTGAATTGAATAGCAGAAAACGAGGAATTTCGTCAAGTGTATTCCACAGAAATTCTTCTAAATACAGCAACGATCAGAGAGGTAAACTCGACTGAAATTGACTCAAATTTTACGGCGAGAGAAATTAACACAGGACTACGCGCCATTACAGCGCCAAGCTACAAACAATTAAGCTAACTCTCACAACTTCAAGTCACTCAATTGAATTTTCTCAGTGACTTTCCTTGCCATTTTAAAGTGAACAGAGATAAACTTGCGTTGACTAATCGTCGATGGATGTGTAAAAAAGGCAAAAGATTGACTAACTTTTAGGAGCTCAGATGCTTGAGAAAAAAAAAAATAATAAATATCTTACTAACCTAGTCTTCTCGGTCCGTACTGTAAGTTACAGATCTTCGTTTTTTCCCCTTCGATTTATGGCCCAAGCGCGAAGCGCGCGGGCCATAAATCGATGGGGAAAAAAACTCGGTCCGTAACTTACAGTACGGACCTCGAACTTCGTTAGTAAGAGGTATTTACAATTTAAATTCCTCGTAAATGAGGCGCTTATGTTGTTCTTTAAATGACCTCTTGTCATGCTCTGTAATTAGAAAGTCATTACTTGCGTCAAATTCGGGATTCTTGGCGACAATGCATGCAGCACGTAGATGGTAATGCGTGGGCCCGAAATGAACTTGTAGTTTCCCGTCCTTCATAAACGACTTATACTCATTAGTGGACGCAATTAAATCATTTGGCGGATCGGGGATTTCGNCTTGCCATTTTAAAGTGAACAGAGATAAACTTGCGTTGACTAATCGTCGATGGATGTGTAAAAAAGGCAAAAGATTGACGATTACCGCTAACTTTTAGGTGCGAAATTTAGGCAGCGGGAAAAAAATCCGACCCGTGGCCCGTATCGTAAAAAGCTGGACCGGTTACGTGGTTATGACTAGCCAGTCAAATTCGAAGATTTAGGATTTCGGCCCGCTCAGATGCTTGAAAAAAAATAATAATGGATATTTTTTTGTAGACTAACAGATACTTCAGTAGACTACATTGAAAATATTAACCATCCAGAAGGACACAGCATGGCGTGTGTGCTGCTAACTATATGAATACTCAAGAAATAGTACAGCATTGCCTTGGTACTTCCTTGTTACAGATACTTCCATCGTTTGCAATTATTTGCTGTTGTAAAACGCCTCGTACACGCAAAAATTTCATATGTATTCTTTGTTCGAGGTCAGTTCAACTGACCTCATCATCAAGGTAGGCCTGTAAATGAATCCCTCTCAGATGTAACTGCCAAATAAAGACTTCATATCCCAGTCGGCAGAGCTTCCCAATACTAAAGATTATAAGCAGAACTCTTGGAAAGTAATTCTCTCTCATTGAATTTAGAATGTTCAAGTTTCCTGCAATCCAAAATAGAGCGGTTTTCAACTGACTGTCCAAAGTAATTACACGATTACTTTTGGTTTTTTGGTCAGTTTACTACAGTTTGAGATTGGCTGAGTAGTCTAATTGATAAGCAATTGGTTTGCTTTTGGTTTTATGACACTCAGTTGAAAACCGCTCTAATCATGACCACAAAAATAGGTCTTGTATTCCACAAACAATATAAATATATTTCCAGCCCAGCAGTAAGATAGATAATAACTAATGCACTTAAAGGCCAAGCTGTGATGTGACATTGAAAAAACTCCCATTGTAATTATCTGTTGCATTTGAACCTACCGATAAACCATGCCTTGTTCGTGAGTAATTTATACAAGACACACGAAACTCCGGCTACTATGTCGCTTGTGTCTCTCACTATCTACGTCTACATTATTGGGATCTTGTAAAGGGAGGCATGCTCCCATCACTGCAAGACATTAAATAAAAAAATAAAAAGCAGGGTGGGGGTGGGGGGTGAAAAACCTTAAAACTATAGCAAAGTTAAAGAAAGCAATCAGAAATGGTAAAACCGATCCCTCAAGGACTAACAGCTCTTTACGTTCCGTGTTCTTTTCGGGCGATCTTTTTACAATCCAGATAATGGAGCCAGGGCACGGCAATTTCTTTTATTTTATTTGTATGTGAAAACACACAGATAGTCAACAAGATAGAGAAGTAAAGAAACCATTTATTTGCATCCAAAAACTTTGTTTTACATGAAGTGCGTAATTATATGCAAGTTGTTATTCCTTTGAAGAAAATGGCGTGCTGGTAATGGTTATTGAAATGGATCAGGGGTCTTCACTGTTAAGTTTAATTAGAAGCTGCAAATAGGGTAGATTAGTATAGAACAGCTATTGTGAACAGACAAGTCGACTTACAGTATTGTCAATAGACACCTTCTAAAAGGACATTATGGTGGGAATGTAGTGATATGGTCAAAAGCCTACCGTAAACGTCAAAGTGGAAGCACCTTTACATCAAAGTTTGCAGGAACGTACGCGTTCTGACAAATGTCCACGATTCCATTCCATTGTAAACAACCCTTATCTATACGGAAACCTTTGGTATTTTTAATACATTTGGCATTTCAACTGTGTCATAAAATGCGTCGAATACTAAATTTGTTGCATTTGAAGGTGCATCCGATTTAGACCTTATTAGGTCCTTGTATGTGGTGGCTGCGCCGGCAATACAAGCAGCTGTCAAAACTGCACTGTCCTACAGAAAAGACTTGATAATAGTAATTTTCTTCGCAGCAAACAAAAATAAAGACAATGCTAAACTTGCTTTTGCATCTTCTAATACTTAGCACTAGAACTCTTGACAAAGAACAATTTATTTTGTTCAAAATAACCCGACTATTTTCCTACCTAACAATACTCGACGAACGACGAGGGAGTTTCCAGACGCGGGCGACCCATTATATTTTTGGCGCCAAATTACTACCTTAGAGACACAAAATGTTTCATATTTTCCACTTTCACACGATCTGATACAGTTTTTGGCATTATGAATCCCTTTCAATACCGTCGTCTTCAGTGAGAAAAGATGCCCGACCTTAGTGCCTTTCCTGTTAACGTAACTTGACGTCAGACTTCGTCAGGACAGTACAGTTTTTTTCGCCTACTGAATCCTGATAGGCATATTCAAATTTCAGGTACGGCAGCTGCATCCAAGGGTATCAGTGTTTGGCTTTTTACTTAACAGGAATCAAAGTAAGACTAAGCCTGGCGGCTTTAACATATACATCAAACAAACAAATAGTCAGCGAAAAGTCACGGGCGATCCAAATCCACCTGTATTCCAACTTCCATCTTTATTTTTCCTTTGCTTAAGCTCAGTGTGTCATCCTCAAGACCATAGTTGACGCAACCCGGGAGATTCTGAATGGAAAGTATTTGTTCCCTTTCGGCGTTGTAGCCACGAGCAGAAGCATCACATGCGATGTAATCCCTGAAGCTGTCCGTTCCATCCTCCTCCCCTGGCAACTCATTATCTTCGTGATCTGCAGAGTCATCTTCAGAGTCATTGTAGTCGATGCCATGTTCAAGTTTGTCCGCGCCTGAAAGAATAGTATGCTTAGCTCTTATTTAAGGTAATGTCTTTACAATTGTCTTCTTTTTAAGAATACCAGGTATATACACGGCAAAGTACATGTTTGAGATGAACATAACTTAGTTCACCCTCCTGACTTTGGGAAGGACCGGGGAGGCAGGCCATGGGACCAAAGATTAAACCCTGGTATACCGAGAAAATATCCCAAGATTGCCGGGTGCAGGATTTGAATTCCAAATCAGCGCCTCAATCACAAGACGCATTGCTTTCACAAAAAGAAACTATAGTTTGTCTCAAATATGCTCCAGACTTTAATTCAAAAATCAAATGACACTTCCTGTCCAGGTCGTCATTTAACTTATGCAATAGAAATGTCATTCAATCATACCCATTATTTCCTGGTCGTAACTAAGCCTGATTGGTAGGATCTTGTTGATGAGAAACAGCTGTAGCCATGTTGTAGATCCAGCCCAAGCAGCAACAACTACGCATGCCAGGATCTGGACACCAAGCAGTTTTATACTGCCACCTTTGAAAAGCCCACGGACTTCTGAAAATCCTTCCAGCGGTTCCTCTTCGACAAACAAACCAACTGCAATCATTCCCCAGATCCCCGCCATGGCATGTGTTCCTATGCAACCCACTGGGTCATCGATTTTAAACCTAGAAGAACATTTCTCGATATTTAATTAATTTTGCTTCATTTCAAATGTAACGTTTGTCTTTGTATCTAGAGTAGCACTATACTTGATACATGTCACACAGACTAAATAATTCGTCAAGTTTAAACAAAAAAAATCAACCGTGATGGTATCTTAGAATTCTATCTCAATAAGCACTATTATCAGTATTTCCCTAGGTTTAGTTTTAATAAGTCACAAAAATGTAGTCTTTTAACTTATTTCAACCGCAATTCTACATGTAAGTTCTAAACCTGTTCGCGCAACACAAAATTATTTGACATTGGGACCACTTCAGAGGGTCGAACAAAAAAAACTGAATTAGAAAAGATTCCAAAACAAACCTGTCGATAATGTCGCAACTGCCGCAAGCTACCAGTCCTCCAATGAATCCAAGGATGAAGGCCTCCCAAGGACGGCACACGGCACAGATAGCGGTAATACCAACCAGACCCCCCAATACACCGGTTATGAATACCGCTACGTCCAGCTTCCTCTTTCGGTACAGAAAACTGTACATCACTCCCAGGATCCCCCCTCCAATGGAACCATTCAGCGTCACTACCGCTGATCTAGAGGCTAGCAGCCACTTTGCTGTTAAATTAAATTTGAATTTATTATGTGATTAAGCTATAAAATTGTTGTTATAGAATAGAGCTACTGTTTAAAGACAAAATCAGTCCCAGTTATCGTTTTGTGTTCGCACTATGCTATTGATTATTAATTAGGTCGCACGACAAGATTATGGCAAATTTCAATATTCCTTGCCGGGTCAACCCTCGATTAAGTATGTTAAGATAACGATCTTATCTTACTGAAAGCAATTAATCTCTAATGCAAGTTTTTGGGCCAGGTTTCTGAAACAAGCGAAATCGATGAACGGCGCAGTAGGTTGATTTGAGACAGATAGTCTAACAGATAGTCCTGAGCAGTTTGAAAAGTTAGCTTATGAACACTGACTCCAACATTGTCATCCTTGTAATTATTTTTTAACAATGAGAGCCTAATTTATAAATTCTCCATTAGATGTGAATTACATACATCCACTGATTCCAAAGGTGCTGCCACAGTTGAACCCCAGCCAGCCCCACCACAGCATAAATGTCCCGAGCATCACATTGGTCAGCGAACCAGGCTTGCCTCTTTCGACTGACTTGTCATATCGTCCCAGTCTAGGTCCCAGCATTATCGCAGCCACCAAGCCCGCGACACCTCCAACTAAGTGCACCCCTGCGCATCCTACAGAACACGACACACCACAGGTGAAGGGTGTTCAAAAATAAAACTATTGCCGGCTTTCACATGACGTCACTAAAATTCAAACTACAAAACTATTGATCCTCCTGACATTTTTCTTCCATGATGTATACGAGCAGCTGAAAACTAATATTCATACAAATTTTTGCTCCGAATGGGTTCTTCGTGTTTGTGACAGACTACGCTTGAATTTCTGAGCTTTTGCGCGAAGCGGAATTTACATGACGGCCAAGAGAGCCGTCATGTTGGTTAAAAATGTGACTTGATTCGGGTAATTTGGCTATCCGAACAGTTCTTGTATTAGAAAAAGTATTATTTTAATGTTTTTGAGTTCCTCGAGAGATAAATTCACGCTTTTGTAGCA